GATTGTGAGGATGGCACAGGGGCCGAGCAGTGTTTTGTTCTATTGTACATGGGGTTGCTATGAGTTGGAACTGACTCGACGGCACCTAACAACAACAAACATCCTAGACTTGGTTCCGTCCTCAAGGTCACCTCCTAGTCCAAAATAGTTGCTAAACAAGCTGTTGTATTAACATTCTAGGCAGCAAGGAAAAACAAAAGGAGCACATTTCCTCCTTTTTGAGGAGTCTTCTGGGAAATGCCAGGCAATGCTTCACTTAAATCTGATTGGCCAGATTTAGTCACAAGGGAAGCTGGGTAATGTAATCTTTTATTTTGGGTGGTGTCTTAGTCATTTTAGTGCTGCTACAACAGAAATACCAAAAGTAGATGGCTTTAACAAAGATAAATTTATTTCTTCACAGTAAAGTAGGCTAAAAGTCCAAATTCAGGGCGTCAGCTCCAGGGAAAGGCTTTCTGTCTCTGTCGGCCTTCTCATCAATCTTCCCCCAGACTAGGAGCTTCTCTGCGCAGGGACCCCTTGTCCAAAGGACATGGTCTGCTCTTGGCACTGCTTTCTTGGTGGTAGAGGTCCGCAGTGTCTCTACTCACTTCTCTCTTTTATATCTCAAGAGATTGCCTCAGGACACAATCCAATCTTGTAGATTGAGTCCTGCCTTACTAACACAACTGCCACCCATTGTCCCTCATTAACATCATAGAGGCAGGATTTACAACATATAGGAAACTCACACAATACCAGGAATCATGGCCCAGCCAAATTGACACACACATTTTTTGGGGGATGTAATTCAATCCATGACAGGTGGCAACATGACCAGATAAAAACCAGGATTCTGCTACTAGGGAGGAGAGGAGAAGGAACGAGGGGAGGGGCCGCTAGAAGTCTCGACCACACTTGCTTCTCCCTTCCTTTTGGTGTTCCTAGTCATCCACTTAGCAAACATTCAAGCACCTTCTATTGGTGGCGTCACTAGGATTGGTGTGATCCCCCCATGGATAGAACTGTAAGTTTATTATCAATTTTAATCATAAGATCATATGTGACAAATATAGTTATAAGTTGCTTAAATATAGTATTTCTTAGATTATATGAATACTAACAGAATTGTTTTGTAATACATTGACTTATAACATTGTTTTGTAATACATTGAATTATAACGTTAGTTCGACACTATTAGTAACTGATTATATGAATACTAACGACAAAATTGTAACACACTGAGTTATAACATTAGTTCAACACTATTAGTAACTGAGGGGAGCCTTTTTTTATTTTTCTCCTTCTTTTCCTTTAATTACTACTTCATTCTCAAAAAGTTATTGATATAGCTTCACAAATACTAATGCCACAATATTGTAGCTAAAACATCAGAAATTTTGACAAAACCAGCTACTATAAAAAACACTGACAGCAATGAAAACAACAGCGCGTGCTTTTAACGCATGCAGACGAAACCACGTGATTCGAATCATCACTGTAATCAGGTCATAATGACAGCTCTGACTGGAGAGCTTTAGAAGGTTCAAGAAGTAAATTAGCATAGAGTTTTAGCCTTGTAGGTCTGTTGATACATGTAAGCTGGGCTTATGAAAAATGTTTTTGTTGTTATAACTAACTACAGGGACATTTTTATAAAAAATAATAAATTTCTGCTGGAACACTGCACAAAAATTTTATAGACAGTCATTTTGGTGTCACCCCCCTCTGACAGTGTCACCCAGTACGGTCTGCACCTCCCGCACCCCCTAGTGACATCCCTGCCTTCTGTGAGCCCAGCACTGAGGGGCCAGTCTCTGGCCCCTGGGGAGCTCCTCCTGCCTTTCTCATCCTGTCTGTTTCTGGTGGTGGAGCATGAGCCTCTAAAGATCAGGGCTCAAGCAGGACCCGCTTTGTGCCTTTGGTGCCCTGCACAGAGCGGGGTGCTACACAAAGCCCAACAAATGTTCATGTAATCAAATCAGGGTAAGATGAAGTCCTGGAAACGGCCAGCCATCTGGAAACCTTTACGCATGAGTCATTCAGATAGCTAAGTTTCCTGTATAAAAATATAGGAATGTGAAGATAGCTTAGGGGGATAACCTTCTTTAAAATACCCCAGGTTTTTGTTTGAACTATTTGATTTCTGAAATACATTGTGCATGTCTTTGCCTTGTTAAACAGAATATATAAACCGTTTATAACCTTGCCTGAACTACGTAGAGTCATTATGAATGCAACATCATAGTGTTCTTGGTGCTCTCAGTGCAGAGCTGTTGGACCCAGCGCTGTCTGGTGCTTGGTGATCATACACGGAGGTCTTAGGCTGGTCTGTTTTTTAAGGACCGTCTTCCTTGCTCTATGGTACTTCTGCTGCCAATGGCCTTTCTTCGTTTTTGTTTCTAATGTGCAATAGACTCGAAAACCAATAAACGAGTTAGGGATAAGGTAAGATTAAATAGGATCAGCGTGAGGGATCCTGAAGATCTTCTGTGGGTATAGAACATGGATGCTTTTCCCACTACTCAGGGACAGTCTTCCGTGTTCGTTTTCAATTATGGTCCAGATAGTTCCTGGATAGCTGTGGTCCAGCTGCTAGTTGTGGGCTTGACCAATCCATCCACCTACATCGCCCATGCATGCATGCATCGAACCAATTATTTAAAATCAAACTGCAAATTCACTGACTTCATGTAGATGGAGTGGAATGATATCAATAACTCCAATCAGTGATTCATCATCTCCTCCTAGTGGTACAACAGGATATTAGAAAAATAATTTAAAAAAACCCAACACTACAGAGACCACTCCATGGTCATTGGTTTAGTCCAACCATAATCATCCTCTGCCAAATGTTCCAACAAGATAATAAGGCCAATGTTCTACAAATTCCAAAACTGAGCTTTAAATCCCAAAGGCTAAAGAAGCCTATGTTTAAAATAAACATGGACATCTATTAGTTAGGAATATTTAGATTCTCTGTGAAAAGTCCCGTTAGATTTTTTATAAAGTGTATGGTTGGGGTGTGTCTTCTTGGTGCTGCTATAGCAGAAATACCACACGTGGGTGCCTTTACCAACAGAAATCTATTTTCTCACAGTTTAGAAGGCTAAAAGTCTTAAATCAGGAAGCTGGCTCTAGGGGAAGTCTCTCTCTGTTGGCTCTGGGGGAAAATCCTTGTCTCAGCTTCTCTAGCTGGCCATCCTTGGAGTTCCTGGGCTTGGAGACTAGTCGGCCTCGTTGTCTTCAGGTAGTGTGGGTCTTCTCCCCGTGTCTGCTTTCTTCTGTGCCTAATCTACACCTCTGCTCCATCATATGCTCCATAAGGCCCCAGCCCTGGTGGGGGTGTGCCAGAGCTCCCAGGCCAAGGCTGGAGCAGTGGTCCCACAGGGTGGGAGGCTGAAGTGGGCTGAAGTAAAAGTCCTCTTCACTATTTTGAGATTTGTAGCTCGTACGGTCAGGGTCTATTTTGCATGTAAAACTTTGCTCCTATACATTCTTTCCCGCTTTCTAAATTGTAGTTAAGAGCATCCAGTGATTGCAGTAAAATGTAAGAAAGATATATTCTCTTTATCCTCACATTGTTGTTATTCTTGGGTGCCGTGAAGTTGATTTCAATTCATGGTGACTCCATGTGGCAGAGCAGATCTGCTCCATAGGGTTTCACCAGGTCTTTTCTCCTGGGGAGTCACTGGGTCAGTTCGAACTGCCAATCTTTTGGTTAGCAGCCAAGTGCTTAACTGTTGCACCATCAGGGCTCCTAAGTTCTATCAAACTGGGCTGGGGTGGAACATCTATTAAATTTCATTTAATAAACTTTGCATCTCCTGCAAATTTTCCTGTGGCCATCAGCAATGAGACCAAACATCCAACTATATTTACTGCTTTGGTTACTGCTTCCTCATTCCCCATCGACTCTGGTATCTTGAGAGAAGTGAGAACATTAACTTTTTAAAACAGATCTCAACCTGTTAGGTGCTGCTTTAAAAATCTTATCATTCCCACTTCTCTCAAATCTGAAACATTCTCCTATGCTTGACTTACCCATCATCTCTTCTTAGATTTGGGAACAGCATAGCTCATCAAGCACACTGATGCGGAGAGGACAAACATACCCTAGAGTTCCTCTTATTCTTTCACAGCAGACCACAACCAAGTTAGCTGAGACTTAGAACTCACTGTTATGGATTGAATTGTGTCCCTCAAAATTTTAGGTTGAAGTTTCAATGTCTAGTACTTGTGAACATGACCTTGTTTGGAAACAGGGTCTTTGAAGATGTTAATAGTTACCACAAGGCCACCCTGGACTAGGGTGGGTCTTAACCTGGTGAATGGTGTCCTTATAAAAGAGACAGAGAGACAGAGGGAAGATAGCCATGTGATGACAGTGATGCTGCAGCCACAAGCCAAGGAATACCTGAGGCTACCAGAAGCTGAGAGACACAAGGAAGGATCTTCCCCTAGAGCTTCTCAGAGAGCATGGCCCTGCCGACACCCTGTGTGTGGACTTCTGGCCTCCAGAACCATGAGAGAAAAAATTTCTGTTCTTAGAAGCTACCAAGTTTATGGAACTTTGTTACAGCAACCCTAGATTAACACACCCATCATGGCCGGGGTCCTCAACAGTTTTCACCCTGTCATTTCTCCCTATAGAACCTCACAGTTCATGATAGGAGTCAACTTTCAACAGTTGGCACTACTGCCCTCCACCCTAACAAGGAAAGCACAGGCACAAGGCTACAGTCATTATAAAATGGGCGGGGAGGAGAAAAGAGGTGTACAGGAGGGCAGCACGTGAGATGGTGTGGTGTGGGTGCAGGTGAGAGGGCAGAGGCTCTGACGCCCAGGAGCCCCAGGCCTGTTGGGGGAATGGTCTGCCTCTACACCTCCCATCCAGGATGCCTAAGTAAAGGCCTTGGGCCCAGAACATTCTCTGATAAGGAGGCTGGGAATTGAGTCACCTTCTCTCTCCCAGTTCCTTCTCCTTATCAGAGAAGTCTTCCCCTGTTCTGGGCACGCAGTAACTTTCTCTGTCTGTTGCACATGCACGGGCACCAGGTGGCACCTGGCTAACCCCACTTCTATATCTGTTCCTGGTAAGGAGGGAACGAGGTCTCTTATGCTACAGCAAAAGGGGGGAGTGTGCCAGATTGTAAGAGCCAGCCTTCAGGGGTGAACTGAAGGAGAAAGAGGCTTTGTGAGGCCAAACATGAGTGCCCTCATGTGGTCCTCCAGTTCACTACAGTTTGCTAAGTCATCCTTAAATAAGTCCTTGGCATGTAGCCACCATTGTCCAGCACCACTATAAAACCTCTGCCCTTCCACTGAGGGCTGTAGAGATCTCTGGTCCTGCAGCCACCCAGGACTTGGTCTCATTTGTAAGTCTTCCTAATAAACTCCTCTGCTGCCATACTGGAGTTGCCTGCCTCTTTCTTCAGTCTCTTGGCACCCTCCATTTTTGGAGGCAAGTTTCATGTTACTGACCCATGCCTAGACAATGCTCCATGGTCTCAGCTGCAGTCCAGTCCTCGGGGAAAGGCCTCTGTGCTCTGAGCCCCACAATTAGGAAATGCTACAAGAGACGTGGGCTTGCAAAACATCCCTCTTCTCACAACAAAGTCACTGTGGCTTCTTCAAGAGACCAGAGACACCCTTTTTACAGACATTTTAATTTAGTAAACAAAATACTGGTTCTTTAAAAGCATACAAAAATTCACATTAAGTTAAAGGTTGAGAGTTTATCCTCTGACACATCATTCGATAATTAAGTCTTCTTTCTTCTCAGCTGGAGTCCACCAACGCTGACATTTAAAATACAAAATCTAGACAGGAAGATCAAAGGGATAAGTAAGAAATGTTTGATAAAAATAATAGCTAATACTTTATTTGCTCGACATTAACCCTTATGCTCAGCCATTTAGACTTAACAGAAAGGAACTACTGAAGTGTTATCTGTTAATGAATATGTATTTTTAGCATCAAAATTTTCCTGCAATCTAGACAAAGGGACTTACAAGCAAAGGCCAAACCAAACCAAACCAAACCCACTGAGGTTGAGTTGATTTGACTCATAGTGACCCTATAGGACCAAGTAGAACTTCCTCATAGGGTTTCCAAGGAGCGGCTGGTGGATTCGACCTGCCAGCCTTTTGGTTAGCAGCCAGACTCTTAACCACTGCACCACCAACGTCTACTGTGGTCAAGGAATGGCCTGCAGGAGCATGGAGGTTGGGCAGAAGAGGTGGCAAAAGTGATCTGGGTTAGGACAGATTGGGAAGGAATTTATATGCCATACCAAAGAGTTCCACTTTATCTTGAAGGTAACAGCGTTTCTTTATCTTGGGTGCATGCAGGGGCTTCCAATGACCTGTGACTCTCCATCCCCTCCTGAAATTCTATGTACAACTGTGTTTCTAGCATGTAGCTTTCTGGGGAGAAGGTCCATAGCTTTCGTTAGATTCTCAGAGTCCTGTGACCCACACCTGTTAAGAACCACTGCTCCCAATCATGGAGGACCACTGCAGGCTTTACAGCAGGGGAAGAGGCTAATTGCATGTGCCCTGGAAATGGCATTTTAGCCGAGGAGAGTAGGCTAGACTGGAGACAGGTGGGAGGCTCATCAGCAGATGCGGCACAAGGATCAGTGTATGAACACCTCGTGCAGAGCTGCTTTACAAGCCCTCACTCAGCCCTTCAGATCCCAGGAATCTGCAGTCCTCTGACGAATCCCGCCCACTGACTGGCCTGCCCTAACACCCTGCCTATTTCACATTGCCAAGCCACAGCACCTTTGGTTTCCCCCTTAGTTATCTTTCTTCTCTGACTGCTTCTTCTTTTCGGCCTCCTGTCTTTGTAGTTTTGCTTCCAGTCTTTTCCTCTGGTATATTTTGACTCCAGCAAATGCCAGGCAGAGGATTAACGTTTTTGCTGCCAAGATATACAGCAGCACAGGCACGTGATCAAGAACCTTAAAGAAGAAAACACCACTGTAAATGTTCTATCCTTGGTGGAATGTTTCTTCACTCTACACACGTTTACCGAGCACCTGTTGTATAAGAGGGTCTGGGCTAGGTGCTGGGGCCACACTGCTGACCAAGGCAGACAAGGTCCCTGCCCCGTGCAGCTGTCTACATTCAGCTCGGCCCTTCATCATGGCCCTGCTACTGGCTTCACAGAGAGCACAAGTCCACTACAAATGTAGTAACTCTGGCCCTCACAATTTCACCAGGCAATCTGCCCACCACCCAGGCCTCTGCTTCTGAGGGGGCAGTGTGGTTCAGTGAAAGGAACCAGGAGGCAGGAAAAGAAAAAAGAAAACAGTTCCCATGGGGTGATTCTGACCCACAGCAACTCCGTGTGTACTAGAGTAGAACTGTACTCCATAGGGTTTTCAATGGCTGAGTTTTCAGAAGTAGATTGCCAGGCCTTTCTTGCGAGATGCCTCTGGGTGGACTCAAGCATTCAATCTTTTGGTTAGCAGGAGGCCTGGGTTACAGCTCAGGCTGTGCCACTGACTGACTGTGTGACTTGGGTCAGTCACCTGACCTCTCTGAGCCTCTGTTCTTCACCTGCAAGGCCAGGCTGGACCAGGCTTTTCTCTTGGATTCTGTTCAGCTTTAGTACACTAACTACGATTTCCTCCTGGGTTCTCTCCAGCTTTGGTACACTATGATTTCCTCTTGGGTTCTCTCCAGCTTTAGTACACTAATTACGATTTCCTCCTGGGTTCTCTCCAGCTTTAGTACACTAATTACGATTTCCTCTTGGGTTCTCTCCAGCTTTAGTACACTAACTACGATTTCCTCCTGGGTTCTCTCCAGCTGTAGTACACTAACTACGATTTCCTCTTGGGTTCTCTCCAGCTGTAGTACACTAACTACCATTTCCTCTTGGGTTCTCTCCAGCTTTAGTACACTAATTACGATTTCCTCCTGGGTTCTCTCCAGCTTTAGTACACTAATTACGATTTCCTCTTGGGTTCTCTCCAGCTTTGGTACACTAACTATGATTTCCTCTTGGAATCTGTCCAGCTTTAGTACACTAACTAAAATTTCCTCCTGGGCTCTCTCCAGCTTTAGTACAGTAACTACAATTTCCTCTTGGGTTCTCTCCAGCTTTAGTACACTATGGTTTCCTCTTGGTTTCAGCTACTCATTAGCCCTGGCACTTAAAGGTAAAATAAGTATGTAAGTAAAATACAATAAAGCTCAAAACATTAAAACTTAACTGCTTATTAACTGCTCCTGTAATATCCTGATAGACAGAAAATTTCACCCATTAGCTAACATGAAGTCTGGGATTAACTACTGAATTTCAGTTACTCACTGTCTGCACCAGTAGTTTTTATTATGTAATTCTGTGTATCATGTAGCATCTCAAGGCAAATACTGTACTAGTTTCATAAATGTGATTGAACAAACACCCCCAAAACCCACTGCTGTCGAGTCGATTCCAACTCACAGTGACCCTGTAGAACAGAGTAGAACTGCCCCATTGAGTTTCCAAGGCTGTAATCTTTACAGAGAGAGACTGCCGCATCTTTCTCCCATGGAGCGGCTGGTGGGTCCAGACTGCCCACCTTTCAGTTAGCAGCCGAGCACTTAACCACTGCACCACCAGGACTCCTTAAAAATGTGATTGTTGTTAAGTGCCGTCGAGTCAGTTCTGACTCATAGCAACCCTACAGGTCAGAGTAGAACTGCCCCACAGGGTTTCTAAGGAGTGGCTGGTGGATTTGAACTGCCGACCTTTTGGTGAGCAGCCGAGCTCTTAACCATTACGTCACCAGGACTCCGCATAAATGTGATTAGTATGACCCAAATGACAATTCTGAGCCTTTTCTGTCATTTAAAAATTCCTTCACAAATAAAATGAAATGGCATGCTTTTGTTGAATGACTATTATTTTAGAGGATTAGGTAAGATTTATCCCAATGAAATCATCAGGTTAAACTGCCAAACATCACTTATCACACGTAATAACCAATACAATGAAATTCTGCTATGGGGAGTAAACTTGTACATCCCTGTAATAGGTTCTTAAACTAAAGTTGACCTGAAATTGCTTAGTGAACACTTAGCTGATGACAAGACTCACAGAACTAGAGGGCTGGGAAGGGTTTTAAAGATTGCCTAGTCTGTCACCTTACTTAACAGACAAAGGAAATGAAGTCCATGGAGGTGGAGACACCAACCCAGGCCACACAGCTAATTCATGATGAGGCCTGAGATGGACTGGAACATTCACTCCTCTTTCTACTGATTCCCGATTTTCAATGAAGTGGGATAAATGAAATCACAGTTTATGCAGTTATGTTTCTATAATTTTACTGGGATTTTTTAAAGCGAACTCGGGTAGAGATTTCACATCTAGCTGACACAGCAGCTGTCACCGTCTGCTAGGAACTTTCTGTGCACTCAGTGCCTTACAGAGACCATCCCCTTTAATCCTCACAATATCCCCACAAGGCAGACGGCTGTCCTGATTTCACAGCCGAGAAAAGGTAAATTCGGAAAGGGTAGTCATTGGCAAGACGAGATCCGAGGCAGGCGACTTCTCCAAAGCCTGAACCTTCCATTGTTATACTATATATTGTGATATACGTGCTGCTCCCCCAACCCTGTCAACCCTACAATTACGTTACGTAAATAAGATGGCTTGGCCACTGAATTTACCACAGACAAGTGGGATCACTACCTCTGAAGTGATTTGATGGCTTACTTCTAGATACTTGAGAGGATTGTAATGTGATACAACAGGAATATAACAGATATGGGGAGAGGGGACCCAAATGTTTAAGTTGTTTTAACTCAGCTAAAACAATAAGAACACTGATGAACTAGGTAGTCATTTTATTTTCAACCAGGAAATTGGTTTAACAGTAAAGAATAAAGACAACATATGCCCTTCAGAGAAACCAGTCTGGCATAGTGAACTGGACTGAAAAAGTCACAAAAGGGAAACATCTACCCTGCTGAGTGTAAGAAGCTTAGAATATTGACTTGGTTTCCAGACTTTTCCTCACCCAGACCAACCCCATCCCTGCCCTCCCCCGGATAATCCCCTAATTCATCTAGTTTCTTGACAGTTTGCATTTTTAGGGAGGTATAGGCTTGACTCCATGCATACAAACCAACTAAGAAAGAATGTTTAATGTTGTTCTATCTTACCTTCTTGGAGGCAAAAATCAACAGTCTGGGGACAGAGACCTCTTTTATGGTCACTAGGATTTTCTAGGCGAGTTGAGCTTGGTTCGTATTGGGAAGTTACTTTTCTTCCAATTTTCTGAGACTCTACAGATGAGCCTCTGGAGTTGTCTTATGATCGAGCCCGTGTTATAGCCACGGTTCCCTGTGATCTAAATCTGAAACTTAGCTTTAAAAATTACAGGAATGGATTATCTCAGCCAGAAGTTAAAAACCCACTGAAATGGAAACATTGACAAACGACACAGGTAAGTGGTTTCAGTATTTACTTTCTTTTTAAAGGTCGTGGAGAGGAGGAGGCAAGAGGAGAAGCTGGGAGACTGAGAGGGAGTGAAGCAGAGCAAATGGCACCAGAGGTCAAGGCCACTAAAGGGTCAAAGTCAGGCCTTCAGGCCCCCTTTTGTCGGGTCCTAAGCTTCAGCTGTGCTAAATCTCTCCTCTGACTTCAGTCTAACAAACCCCTTAACCAGTTCCTGTCAATTCCAACTCATGCGACTCCATGTGTGTCAGAGTAGACCTCTGCTCCATAGGGTTTTCAATGGATGATTTTTCCAAAGTAGATCACCAGCCCTTTCTTCTGAGGCACCTCTGGGTAGACATGAACCTCCAACCTTTCCATTAGCAGTCAAGTGCCTTCACGGTTTGCACCCCCCAGGAAGTCCTTACATCTCTCGAAACATGCAAACCTTTAAGGAGGTAAATTAGCAAAGGCTGTTGGGGTAGGCTGGAGCTACACATTTTTAAACAAAACCCCAGTAGCTGTGTAATGAGAGTGGCTCACTTGTGAAACCACAAGGCTGCACTCTGCTGGTACACAGGCAGCGCTGTGACCTTCACTGACAGCCGCACCCCACGGCGCCGGGGGGGGGGGGGAAGGCCCAGGACGCACTGGGCCCCGCAGGCCTCTCAACCCCCTGGGCTCTCTGCAGTCAGGGCACGAGGAGAGGCCCTCCCTTCCTGACACTATGTGGAAGGCACCCATTTTCAAGCCCGAGATTGCTCCCCGGAGCCCAGAGTGCTGCATCGGCCTCAAGCTGGGAAGGTCTATGCAGATTTGTTCCCGAAGCAGGAATGGACTCATTCTGTCACCAGCAGGACCAACCTGAGTGGTCAAGTGGATAACGTCACCCCACAAGTAAAAAGAAAAAATTTTATCATCATTTTTAAAAACAGCTTTGTGAAAATCAAAGAGTATTTTTGTAATGAGGAGGTCTATTTTTTAAAATATTTTTTGTTGTTGAGAATATACACAGCAAAAACAGACACCAATTCAAGTGTCTACCTGTGCAATTCCGTGACATTGATTACACTCTTCCTTCAAGTTGTGCGACCATCCCCGCCCTCCTTTTCCCACTTGTTCCTCTCCATTAACGTGAACTCACTGCCCCCTAAGTTTTCTGTCTAATCTTTCGAGTTGTTGTCGTCAATTTGGTCCCATATCGATAGGTCTTAAAAAAGCGCAATGCTCAAGGCAGACATTCTTTACTAGTGAAGCTAAACTATTGTTTGGTTTTAAGAAGACTTCAGGGAATATTTTTGGCATAAGGTTTAAAGGTTATCTTAGGGCAATAGTTTCGGGGGTTTGCATTTTAATTTTCCTGAAACAATTATCCTGGGCTCTTCCCTGTTGCACGGAACACAACATAGTCAGTTATCTCACTTAGCGGAGGTCCTGGGAAGCACAGATACAGAAGTAAAGGAGGCACGGAATTATTTCCACAACACAGAAGGTGCAAGGGAACCGAGTACGTGCAGGCTGGGCAGCGGCAGCATCATCTGCTCTGGCGCTACGGAACCTCAGCTAGCCGGTCACCTCAGCTAGCCGGTCACCTCAGCTAGCCGGTCACCTCTGCTAGCTGGTCACCTCAGCTAGCCGGTCACCTCTGCTAGCTGGTCACCGAGGAACGTCTCTCAACTCTCCTCATACCTCTTGATACTGCTTACTCACGACTTCCACTGTCCCATCATCTCTGTCCCATGGTTCCTCTCTTCACTTTTATCTACCTCATGTCTGCTGACTCTTTCTGAAGTTGTTATGCTGAAATTCCCTGAGACAAATAACCTAACTGAATTGGTATTTTATAACCCAGTTCTTGTGCTCAAGCACTCCGTAACCTGCCAGGATTTGGACACCAATCCTTGGTTCAATTCGCTATGGTCAAGTGGGAGGAGTACGTTCAAAGCATGACCTCACCAGCTTTGCATTTATTGGAGCCCTGGTTGCACAGTGGTTAAGAGCTCGGCTGCTAACCAAAAGGTTGGCAGTTTAGATCCACCAGCCGCTCCTTGGAAACTCTATGGGGCAGTGCTACTCTGCCCAATAGGGTTGCTATGAGTCGGAATCCACTTGATGGCAATGGGTTTGTTTGTTTTTTCCCTCATCCCTACTGACTTTAGCTACTGCACAGGGTAAAAGCCCTTCCCGGGATCTCGCTTCCACACTGCTTTCTGCTTCCTTCCTCTTCCATTTTCTCCCCAACCTCTTCTTTTCCATTGTAAGCTCCGGCGCCCCGATGCATGGCAAACAAGCTCTCCTACATTTTCAACCTCTTCACAGAATACTTACTTTACTTCCTTAACTTTTTCTCTTCCTGGAGAAAGTCCCCACAGCCTCCCTTTAAGGCCTCCCAAGGCCCATGCACCACAGAACAGGGGGGCGGGGGGGGGGGTCTACATTCTCTGAGCTCCCTGGTCCCTCTTCCAGACTTTTCCAGTGCTCCTTGCAATAGACAGCCAATGGATGTTGAAAATACACACTTGTATTAAAGTTATTGGCAGAAAACAATATTTTAATAAATATTTTTAAAAATTGTTAATAGTAGTCATCTTTGGATGTTGAGACAATGCAAGATTTTTATTTGGTTTTATACTTCTGTGCTTTCCAAAGTGCCTAAGATCCACACTGAGTTTGGTGGCCGTTCTGTTCACCATCCTCTGCCTCCCTGACCCCCAGGATTTAAAAGGACACTTTCCTTGCCTCAGTAAAGCCCACTTTACAGGGGTCAGTCGTGTTTATTCCCAACCAGTTTATTTAAGTTGTACTTGATGCTATAATAATTTATTTAAACACAAAAACACTTACGAACTATGACTGTGTAAAGAAAAGGTTGTTTCCATGAATACTAAGTTGAACAAAAAACGTTGTTGGCAAGACAACTGTAAAAGATTAGGGAAGAATTGCATAAAAATCTGGAAAGATTTTGTATGTAGGTGGCATTATAAAATCTTAATAAAATCTTAATCCTCATTTAAAGAAACCAAACTATGAACTTGCAGGCGATGCTTTAAAAGCCTGGTTTTTGCAAGAGAAGGGAGGAAGACAGCAGTGAACTCAAGGAACAGGCCTGGACTGCCCCCAAGAGTCTGGTGAATAAATAAATGTACATTTACATGTTTTAGCTTAAAATATTAAATGTGATTATGACTCCCGCTTTAATCTCTTTTTTTTGTTTAAGTCAATCTTCCTCTCCAGAGCTGTTATTTTGAATTTTTACAATAAAGGGAAGAGAAAAACCCAGCCAATTCTCACCTTCCAGTTCATGCTGAAGCAACTGTGACTCCCTCCTGAATAGTGCAGGCCCACTCAAACATCAGGAGGGCGGGGGGCTGGAAGGTCAGGTCTTGCTGTTCTGAGGGAGAAAAGACACACAGGTCCGCTTGGTTTTTCTAGAGCAGACTACCTTAGGAGGACTTCTCTTTGATGGAGAGAGGGGGCACATGGGCACAAGACAGCCAGCTCCACAGAGGCGGGTTCAGTGTCATGAACAAGGCTGCGTGGCCTGGGGGAAAGCAGACAGGCTGGGCGAGGTCTGAGATAGGCTGGGCTCTTGATGAGCAGGAAGACCTCCTGGGCAGCTCTTCCCCTGGATGGAGTGCAACTCCCATGCGGAGGCAGCAGTGCTGCTCTAGTAGGACATACGTGTTCCCACCCAATTCTTCTGCAGATAGAAGAGACCCTAAAACCAGTTCAATTCTGTTCCCACCCCGACCGCAATGCAGTTCTTCTGAACCTAATCACTTGAAGTTATGTCAGATCTACAGCCTAAAGGGTGCAATCCTCCAGACTGCAAAGTCTGTCCAAGACTTCAGACACCAGTCGGATGTTCAGGTGTCCCCAGGACACCTGCATTTCTAATCTGCTGGCTACAAATTTGGGGGTTCCCACTACCCTCTCAGATTGGATAACTCACTAGAATGACACACAGAACTCAGGAAAGCACTATACTTATCACTACAGTTTTATTATAAAAGATACAAATCAGAACGAGAATCATGAAGAGACACAAAGGGCAAGGTCTGAGAGGGTCCCCAACACAGAGCTTCCATGTCCCAAGCGATGTGTTTACTGTCCGGGTGCACTGATGTCTATCACTAACCAGGAAACTCACCTGAGCTTCACTGTCTAGAGTTTTTACTGGGGTTTAATTACAGACAGGACTGATTAACTCACTGCCCATATGATTGACCCCAATCTCTAGTTCCCCTCTCAGAAATCAGGTGGATAGCACACGGTGGGTTTTCTAAGCCCACACCCTGAGTCACCTCATTAGCATAAGCTACTAGGTGTAGCATGGAATCCTTCATGAATAACAGACACTTCAATTACTTGGGACATTCCCAAGGTTTACCCCCCAAGAACCAAGGGCAAAGACCAAATTCTGTGGGTAAAGTAATTCTTCACCCCACAGAGACCAAGTCCGGACTGTCTCCCACCCCTCACCTCCTCTCTGAACAAGAGCTGGTTATAGAGGTGTGTTTTTCTGTTTCTCAGGTCCTCTGAATGTTAATTAAGCTAATCTTGGTTTTTAAAAAATATCTGGAGGGAAGGGATTAAAAAAAAACCGTCCCAAGAAAGCAATTCAGATCTAGAATTCCTTCTAAAATGTGACGGAGACCTAGGGGATTTGCTTAGAGGCACCAGATGTCACTATTTTTAGAATATAACACAAGCCCCGAGAGTTGGAAGACCTGAGCTCTGGATGAAGAACCTACACACTCTAGTAAGTGACTTCCCTCTTAGGACTCAATCCCATCTGTAAACGAAGAAAGAGGGTGTCAACTAAATGGTCTCTGTGACCTCTGTCTGAAATTCAATGACTTACAACATAATAATCAGTTTATCATTACCGTGCCAGGCCGTGTTCAAGTGCTTTAGATGGGTGAACTCATTCAGTCCTCACAACAACCTCATGAGGTATAATTTATTGTCTCCGCATTATATAAGAGAAAATAGAAAGCTGTAGTAACATGTCCAGGGTCACACAGGTGGGACTGGGATTCGAACCTATCCAGCCCGAATCCAGGACCTTAACCTCAGTATTATACTGATGCAGGCAGATAGCTTTGTATTTGAAAATCATAGAACCCCTTTTCTTTAAATGTATTTACAACCAGAATTAAGAAAAACAGCAGAATATTTCACAAGTCTTTAGAATGAATTTCAGGAAAGATGTTTTATAAAACCTTTCAACTAAAAAAGCATTGTATTTATATAAAATGTTCATATCTCATCTATTCAAAGTCACAGTATCTTGAAAACAAGCTGGTAGTTGGCACAAGATAGCCAAGTTTTCCCCATGACTTTTTCAAAGTCAGATAAACTAATGATAGGAATTTAAACCATAAATCCATTTAATGCGATGATGATTGACAGTGTTCATTGCCTTTCTGTATAAACAGTCCACTTGTTTTCAAGTAGCAGCAGATTCTGACCTGCATTGGAGAAGTATGTTCCTAACATGTTTTAACCTGTTGCTAGAATTTTCACTTTGAGTAATCCCTAATAATCTTAAGGATTAGCCAAACCAAAACCAAACCAAACCCGTTGCTGTTGAGTCAATTCCAACTCATAGCGACCCTATAGGACAGAGTAGAACTGCCCCATAGGGTTTCCAAGGAGCGGCTGGTGTATTTGAACTGCCGATCTTGTGACTGGCAGCCGAGCTCTTAACCACTGTACCACCAGGGCTCCTAGGGATTAACCAGTGCAGTAAATTAAATAAAGTATTTATGGCCATGTAAATTGTATTTTTATGATTCCTGCTTTGAGAGGTGGTACAGTTTGCGCTGGACTGCTAACCTAAAGGCTGGCAGTTCTAACCCACCCAGTAGGACTACGGAAGAAAAACCAAAAAACCAACTCATAGTGACCCTATAGGACAGAGCAGAACTGCCCCACAGGGTTTCCAGGGATTGGCTAGTGGATTCAAACAGCCAACATTTTGGTTAGCAGCCAAGCTCTTAACCACTGTGCCACCAAGTCTTCTGTGGAAGAAAAGGCCTGGCAATCTGCTTCCATTAAGACAACAGTCAAGAAAAACCTATGGAGCAGTTCTGCTCTGTAACACGTGGGGTGTGGCCTTGAGTCAGAATCAACTCGACGGCAACTAACAACCACAATACACAAACACAGCAGGGGAGCTTGGCTGTTCCTCACAGTTTTTCTTAGGGCCAAATCACATACCCAATGCAGTGATGTATGTGGAATATTGATTTTCAAGGTCAAGGATAACCCAAACATAAAAACCAAACTCACTGCTGTCGAGTTGATTCTGACTCACAGTGACCCGATAGGACACAGTAGAACTGCCCCATGGGGTTTCCAAGGCTGTAAATCTTTATGGAAGCAGCTGCCACATCGTTCTCTAGTGGAGCAGCTGGTGGGTTCAAACTTCAACCTTTTGGTTAGCAGTCAAGCACTTAAGATTACAGGAGGAAATAAAGGGAATACCCAGTGGTCTGGCCCTCAGCAAACGTGTTACATTTACTAGCAGTGTGACCTTGGACAAGTCACTTGGACTAAGCCTCAGCGCCCTCATTTGTAAATTCTCCTTCAGAGATTGGACTGTAAACATCAAGCACTACGCTCAACAAAGGGAAAGCACTAAATAAACGTCAACTATTCTTGCTAGGGTCAACAGTTCTCCTTCCACTTATGGACATGCCAAGCTGAAGAACATCAACAAGTTGCATCCAAGGCAAATGCAGTCATTTCAAGACAGCACGGTGTGGTGGAAAGAACTCCTGAGGACCAGAACTGGAAATCTGGACTCTATTCTTGGCATCAGAGGCCGAGCATATGATTTGGGGCAAGTCATTAACCTCTCTGGACCAGTGTTCTCATTTTTAAAATCAGAATCCAAATGCTGCCCGTGCGGCTCTGTAATTCACAACTCATCCTCCTCTCTGGTGTCATAGAACCTGAGTATAGAGATACAGCAGCTTCAACTTCACACCTAAAGTGAGAAGATGGAAACTCTTTAGAAAGGTACTTAAAGTCGACCTGCAATAGCAGTGGAGGGGGTGGAGTGAGAGTGGGAGAGGGCAAACCACCCTGATCAGCCTGGGTTACTCCCCCCTACTGCCACGGAATTACAACTTTTCCCCACTGCCCTTAAATTACAAGCCCCAAGTGAGTCAATTTCCTAGCACCCTGCAAGCCTTCTGCAAATGAGAAGCTACGGAAGCTAAATATAGCTGAAGAGGCTCTTGGCGCTGCTGCCATACATACACCTGATGCAGGATCAGAAAGCAGAGGCAGCTGCTATCTGAGAGCTGCAACTGCAAAGCCCCACAAGATGGGCACTTTCTGAGGGACAGAAAGTCCATTTCAAACTTTCCCTGGAACTATCCGGTCTTAGGTTAAAGCTGAAAAATAACAAATGGCTTAGATCCAACTCCAAATATTTATAGTGCCTTTACTGCAAAAACAGTCTGAGTTTTCCTTTGCCAGGTTTGTCTTAGGAAGACAAAAAGGTATTCGCTATTTTGGTGAAGCCAATTAAAGCAATATGGACAATGTGTTGAACACAATCTAAATTTTCTTCTTGGCACAACTAACAAACTCAAGGGTCAGTCTGTCTTTTGGTTTCTAAGCTCAGCTCAGGGATTGACTAGGCCGTGCCCTCTGTCTGAACTTCCTGAAGCTGATCTCATTCCCAATTTCCAACCTTTTCACCCCAACCCTTCACCGAATCATCTGAAATAGGGATGGGCCAGGGGAGGGAGGTTCCAGGCGAACCTTGGGCATCACCTGGCTGACCTCAGGGCACCACTCTGTCGTCCGCCGGGGTTCCCGGGGCCAGATACAGCCGACCAGCAGTGATGTTCTTTCTCTGCTCCGCTTGGGGACCTGACCTGCAGAAAACCAAGCAGATTCCACTTCTGCTGCCATAACTCCACATCTCAACGCCCAGGGATCCGCTAAGGGGCGGATCCCGGGGTGTCCGCGCCCCCACTTGCAGGAACCCCATGCGCTGGTAGGGCAGCGTGGATGCCCAAGTTCACTGTGCAACACTGGGCGAGTCGCTGGGGCTCAGGTCCTGCTAGATAAACCCGGAGCAGGTACAAGGGTTCTCTCCCGCGCCGACACCCCGGGAAGCAACAGCTGCCTCCTCAGAAGCCGGGATGAAGGCCAAGGACGCCCATCGCTCCCCCACCCTTCCCCAAAGCAAGCCGTCCAGAACTTTCACCCATGCCCCTTGGGACCAACACCCTCTGGCCACAACCAACCCACAAAACCCAAACACGCTGCCCCCAGCGCCGGGCCCTCGGCTCCGTGGCGCCTGGATTGCCAGGAGAAGTCGGTGGCTCTCCGCGTGGCCGTGGCGGCCGTCACCCTCCGGTCTCCACCCGGGGAGGCGCCAGGGAGCCGAAGGCCGGCTGGCGGCCCTCCCGGAGAGAAAACGCGAACGCAGGGCCCGCTGATGGACTCCCCAGCGCCCCAAAGAGCTTTCGGTTAGGGACAAACTTCTGCCGACCCAGAAGTCCCGCACTTACAGCTCCAGAGGCCAACTTCCCCCGCTGGGCAGGCGCACACCGCGACTCCCACAGTCCTGTGGGGAACTACACCTCCCGAAATGCACCGCTCCACGCGCCGGCGCAGCGAGCCCCGGGTGGCCGCCGAGAGGCAACAGCGGAGGGCGGGGCTCGCCGGTCTGGGGCTGAACCTCCAGGGCTGAGCCTCCGGGACTTGTTCGCGTTCTGAACGCGACCTGAGGTGGAGGAGAATGGCAGCCTGAGCTGCCCCTGTGCCCTCGATCGCCTCACATCCCCTAAATGCCACCTTGCTGCTGTCTGCGGCTGAAGACAATGGGTCCCCACGAGAAGTTTCCAAATTCGGCATTCATCGTCTCTTTAAAATACAAGCAATTTCCTATGAGACAACGGTAGGGTGCCCCAGTACTAGGGTCCCAGATTCACTCATTCAACAAACAGTTAGGAAACAGGTGCAGAGTTTGAGCACACTAAGTGAGACAGGGAAGGGATGAAGGGACTGAGCCCCTAGGAAAAGAACTCTCAACTAAAAACATGTGCTTAACTAATGACACAAAACCCATTATTTTGGAACATGCAATAAGGAAAGAACCACCCACACAGCTGTCAATGTACTTCCTTGATAAGATGTTTTTCAGAAGAACCGGCCGGATCTGGTCCCTAGAACATGTGCAGACATCCAGAAGGTGACCGACAGACCTGCGACAGGAATCAAGCCGGCACCATGGGGGGATTGCACAGTCGCGACACCCCATAATAAGTCTTGCCATCCAGTCCCAGGAGCCTTCGTTATGGGTTCCATCTTGGGCTGCCTCCTGCGCGCGCACCTAATCTTCATAAGCCCGTCTCTTTCATGAATAAAGATGATGATTTTTCCCACCTAAAAACCTTTATAAGCCCTAGCCAAACCTTTGTTAGGGGAGACGAAAGCTAGCGTTGCGGCGTCCCTCTTTGTCTCTTTTGCTCAATAAAGCTTTGTTCATGCAGAAAACTTGAGCCTCTCCTGGTCATTCTTGGTCAGTAGAAGGCAAGAACCTCATAGGGGCTGCCCAGGTTGGGTGGAAGACCCCAGCAACATAGGTTCCTGCCCCATGGGAGGGCACAAACTGGACACACACATGCGGGGATAACAAGATAGAATGTTCACTTAGCTCTTAGTACGAGCCGGCTCACCATCCTATGGATGAGGCAACTGAGGCATGGAGAGATTAAGTGACTTGCCCAAGAAAACCAAGGAATAAAGGGCAATGGCAGAATTGAGATTTGAACCCAGGCGATCTGACTCCCAAGCCCATTGTGTCTTTTTGTAGTGATAGTACAAAATGTTAGGGGAAGGCAGAGGAGAGACCAAACTGTGGGCAGGATACTATTAGTGAGGAAAGTTTTCCTGGAGAAAGTTAACAAAAACAGCTTTGTTCTAAGCGTTTGAGGCTATTGTCTAATTTAAGTCTCATAACAACAGACAATGTTGAATTTTACCTGTGTCCTGTGATCCTGGAAAACAGCTTAAAGAAATCTCCCCCACCCCTAACCCTTTCATGTTGCAGAAAAAGGCTTATTGAAAAGAATCACCTTTCCCCATGACTTAGGTAAGACTGGAGGATGCCCCCTGGTTTACCTAAGGCAAGGCCAGACACAGACCCTCCAGATATCCCATTTTTGGCCTCATAAAAGATTAGTTGAACTGCTTGTCCCCACTAATCAATTAGAACAAAATGTATTAACCAAACTTTGGTTAAGCTACTCACTTCCCCTAGGTCACTGAACTTTGGCCCACCCTCAGCCTGAGCCAGCATAGCACCCACCTCTAACAGTTCCTCCTGGAAAACAGACTGATCACACTACCCTTTCATCTGACTTCCACACACCCTGTTCTTTCTATCCTGTTCACTCCTCTATACAAGAAAAAACTTTTTTTGTCTAACCATTGAGGTCCCTGGATGGCACAAATAGTTTGTCCTGGACTACTAACTGAAAGATTGGTAGTTTAAATCCACCCAGCAGGACCATGGGAAAAAGGCCTGATGGTCTATTTAAGATTACAGCCATCCAAAACCCTACAGAGAGCAGTTCTACTCTGAAACACATGGGGTTGCCATGAATCGGAATTGAATCAACGACAACGTATTTGGTTTTGAGATGCTGTCTGGATCTTAGGTTCAGAGCATTCTCTCTATTGCAATAGCCCCCCTCTTCTATTACAGTAGTCCTCACCCCTCAATTGCAATTATCCTTTTGAATAAAACCTCTCTTTAAAGTCTGGATTTTTTAAATAATTGACACTATCCTATAAAGGACATAATATAATAACCATTTCACAGATGAGGAAACACTAAGAGATTAAAGTAATTTGTCCCCGGTTTTAAAGTCTGCAAGTGCCAGAGCTGGAAATTCAACCTAGGTAGTCTAGATTTCAAAGACAAAGTAAAGTATTAAAATGAAAATGTGCAAAGACCTGGAGTTAGAAAACCAAAAGGGAGGAACATACTTGGCATTTCTCAAGCTGAAAGAGCTGAAGAAAAATTCAAGTCTTTTGCAATATTGAAGGATTCTATTGGCAAAATATTGAAAAACGTAGGAAGCATCAAAAGACAATGTAAGTAATACACAGAGTCACTGTACCAACAAAAAGAATTGGTCGATGTTCAACCACTTCGGGAGGTAGCATATGGTCAAGAACCGATGGTACTGAAGGAAGAAATCCAAGATCCACTGAAGGCGTTGGCAAAAAACAAGGCTCCAAGAGGTGATGGAATTATCAATTGAGATGTTTCAACAAACAGATACAGTGCTGGAAGCACTCACTCGTTTATGCCAACAAATTTGGAAGACAGCTACCGGGCCAACCGCCTGGAAGAGATGCATATTTGAGCCCATTCCAAAGAAAGGTGATCTCAATAAAACGAGGAAATTATCGAACAATATCATTAATGTCACACACAAGTAAAATTTTGCTGATGATAATTCAAAAACGGTTGCAGCACTATATCGACAGGAAACTACCAGAAATTCAAGCCAGATTCAGAAGAAAACCTGGAATGAGGGATATCATTGCTGATGTCAGATGGATCTTGGCTGAAAGCAGAGAATACCAGAAAGATGTTTACCTGTGTTTTATTGACTATGTGAAGGCATTTGACTGTGTGGATCATAACAAATTAAGATAACATTGTGAAGAATGGGAATTCCAGAATACTTAACTGTGCTCATGAGGAACCTATACATAGACCAAGACGCAGTCATTCAAACAACAAGGGGATACTGCGTGGTTTAAAATCAGGAAAGCTGTGCATCAAGGTTGTATCCTTTCACCATACTTATTCAATCTGTATGCTGAGCAAATAATCTGAGAAACTGGAGTCTATGAAGAAGATCGTGGCATCAGGATTGCAGGAAGACTCATTAACAACTTGTGATATACAGATAACACAATTTTGCTTGCTGAAAGTGAAGAGGACTTGAAGCTTTTACTGATGAAGATCAAAGACTATACAGCCTTCAGTATGGATTGCAGCTCAACATAAAGAAAACAAAAACCCTCACAATTTATCCAATAAGCAACATCATGATAAATAAACAAAATATTGAAGTTGTAAAGGACTTCAGTTTACATGGATCCACAATCAACGCCCCTGGAAGCAGCAGTCAAGAAATCAAACGACGTATTGCATTGGGCAAATCTGCTGCAAAAGACCTCTTCCAAGTGTTTAAAAGCAAAGATGTCACTTTGAGGACTAAGGTGTGCCTGAGCCAAGCCATGGTATTTTCAATCTCCTCATGTGCATTCAAAAGCTGGAAAATGCATAAGGAAGACCGAAGAAGAACTGGTGCCTTTGAATTATTTTTTTGGTGAAGAATATTGAATATACTATGGACTGCCAGAAGAACAAACAAATCTGTCTTGGAAAAAGTACAGTCAGAATGCTGCTTAGAAGTGAGGATGGCGAGACTATGTCTCACATACTTTGGACATGTTATCAGGAGGGACCAGTCCCTGGAGAAGGCTATCATGCTTGGTAAAGTAGAGTACAGCAAAAAAGAGGAAGACCCTCAAGGAGATGAACTGACACAGTGTCTGCAATAATAGGCTCAAACATAGCAACGACTGTGAGGATGTAGCAGGACAGGGCAGTGTTTTGTTCTGTTGTACACAGGGTTCCTGTGAGTTAGAACCAGCTAAATGATGCCTAACAACAATCTGGATCTAGAGTATCAGGGCCGCCACTATGGCAAATTTCTTTTAAAAAAAAATTTCCCATACAAAAATTTATACATACATTGTTATGTGACCCTAATTGGTCTCCCTATACTGTGACAGCACACTCCTCCTTTCCACCCCTGATTCCCCCTGTCCATTCAACCAGCTCCTAACACTCTCTCCCTTCCCATCTCACCTCTGGACGGAAGCTCCCCATTTAGTC